TCCAATATGAAAAGGAAGAGCTTGTAATGGAACCTCTGCAGAGTAGTCACTGACCTGAATGTTTTCAGGGTAGCATTTATTTTTAGCCTCTTTTACAATATGATAGGATGGGTATAGAGAGCTGAATGGAAGAGCATTGTTTCTTAAATGCTGATAAGTTCCTTTGGATAAATTAGCATCTAAGACTAGCGCTAATTGTTCTTAAGTAAGTGATTCTGTCGATATTTTTTTGTTGTATATTTTTTTATCCACTTTTGCTTCTATAAACCTTTTATCCCTTTTCAAACTTTTACTTGCTGCATATAAAAGTTCGTTTAAATTATATTTACTCAAAAGCTCTTTAATTATGCGATCTTTAGTTCTCACAGACACATCTTCAAACAAATTCGAAGGGCGTCCACCTTAAAGTATAATATTATTTTATCAATTATTAAATCGTCGTAATAATAATACAAATAAATTATACACATTATAATAAATTTACACATAGTTAAAGTAAACATACCACAGGTTTTTGTTTCGATTTTTTTTTTTACAGTCAAATATAGTTTGGTTTAACCAAACTTTATATCTTTTTTCAAATACTGCACTTGTTCTATTCGATTTTTTCCACTTGTTTTTAGCTTGGTAAATGAATTTCGAAATAATTGACAAGATTCTTCGAAATTGCTTTGGGAAACAAAACTCAAAATCTTTGCATGTAAATCATCATTTTGTAGTAAATTATTTTCCATTATTTAATTCATAAGACATCTCCTATCCATTTTTAAGAGATTGTCTGTTCAATAAAATACTTTTAATTTAAAAGAAAGTAATTTAAAATGTTTTTAATAAAGTAATTTTTTTTACGAGCAGTAACTATGAAACTCAGTTCCTTTCCTCTATTTCTCATTGGTTGTTATCGTGTTTTTTATCGATTACATACAATTTTATTGTTTTCGGGAATTATAAAATAAATAATAAATATTATGTCCCAAATTTGTACTACGTAGAAGTATATAATTCATATTTTATCACAGTCTCTGAGTTTTTATTACTTTAAAACGGTAGCATAAAAAATTAGGAATAATGGTTTCAATGCGATCTAAATGTTCATTGAGCAAATACGAGGAAGTTACTGGAAAGCAATTAAAAAATACAAAAATATTTAATTTTAAACTTGTCTTTGATAAAAATTATTATAAAGTCAAACTGCAGTTTTTAAATTTTAAATCTTCTTAAATTTTTTGTTATCGATCAAAAACGTATTAACAAGAAACGTGGACGTAGTTAATTGAATTTAAAAGTGTATTCGTTTAGGCAGCTATAGGCAGCCAATTTTTATACCACAAGATCAATGTCATATTGGTATTCAATTATATATCATTTTAAACGGTTGATACAGGTTGATCCGATGGTTTTAAATGATATTTTTGAAAAAAATAAAATCTTATAACTCAAAATTATTGATGTTTGCATTGTTGAAAATATTTATACAAAATGCAATAAATATTTTTTTTTATCTGATTTAAATATTTACATAATACTATATAAGTCATTTATAAGTTAAAAAATAAACTTAAACTTCTTTAAAATAAGAAATTAAAGTTTTCAAAAGATGTAAAAAAATAAAATTTTCACACTTTTTTGTTGTTATTGATAAAAAGTATTTAAGGAAATATTTAAATAAAAAATATGGCGTTTTATTGAAAAATTATTTTTTAATAAAATATAATTTCTGGCTTATTAATATATTGAGCAAAATTTGCCTTTTTTTGTATGGTTTTGCTGGCTTCTGACCCACTGTGCATTTGAAAGATTGATGGCAAGGGATCCACAAGACTCATTGGTGTTGTTGTGTTGATTGTGATTTGCGTATGTATAAAACCTTGTGTAATAAAAGATGACAATAAACTCCCAAAACACATTTGCTCTGGCCTTTTTTTTTTTTTCTGTTTATTTTCTCTGTTTTGCCCTTTATTCTTTATCGGCTAATTTTTTCATCCTGGATTTTCTTGTTTCCCTGGTTCCCTTTGTTTTTGTAAAAATACTTTATCTTCTATTTTTATCTATTCTAAAGCATCAGCATGTGCTTTATATTGAACTAAATTTTGAAAGTCATGGCGCTTGTAAACATCTTGTTGTATTTTGAAATTGTTTTGCAACTCTCTTCAAGAATGGCAATGATCTACAAGTTTTGTTATACAGTTAGGTACAGCTCTGGTAAAGATTCTAGCTTTTCCCCAAAATATAGTACACTCTTGAATGACAAATTTTGCGCTTTTACTAACAGTCAATTTAACATCGCAAATGTTAAAAAATATACTGCAAGAATTTGAGGGTTAGACTGTAACTTTCCATATGTTATTTGATAATTCACGCCACCAACTAAAAAAAAATTTTAATGCTTCTTAATTCCACAGCCATTTCTCAATTGTAAAACAATTTGTATTAATCACGATAAAAACTGAATCAGGATTTTCTAAAAGTATGAATTTACTTATAGTGGTAGGTCACAAAATTGATAAGAATTACACTTATTGTAAATAGATAAGTATCATCTATTTTATATTATTAATTATTATCAAATTATCAAGATGATAGCTATCTATTTTCAATTATCAATTCTACGTCATTGTAAAAACCACTTTTAGCATTCTGCCCTTTTAACAAATGTCGTGAGTAAGCACAAATACTGTGCAACTTGTATGAACAGGATTCAATGCAAGTAGCACAGGTTATCGTACTCCAAATAAGGTAAAAAAAATTTTTCGAGTGTTTTAAAAGCAAATGAATGAAACTAAGACCTATACGTTAAAAAATAAAAAAATTTCACAGATGAAAAGCAGATGAAAAATAAGGGACACCCTAATATATATATATATATATATATATATATATATATATATATATGTATATATATACATATATATATATATATATATATATATATATATATATATATATATATATATATATATATATATATACACACACATACATATATATATACATATGTATTTGTAAATATATGTATATACATATACATAGGGGCCAGATAAAGATAGACTTATCATCAAGCCTCAAATAGTATAGTATAGTATATATATATATATATATATATATATATATATATATATATATATATATATATATATAGATATATATATATATATACATATATATATATATATATATATATATATATATATATATATATATATACATATATATATATATATATATATATATATATATATATATATATATATATATATATATATATATATATATATATATATATATATATATATATACTATATTAATATTTCAACGAAAAACTAATTTTTTTGATGCAATCTTTAAAATTACGATTTTTTTTCAAGTGTACGATTATTTTTTTTGCATACTATAATATATATATATATATATATATATATATATATATATATATATATATATATATATAGTATATATATATATATATGTATATATATATATATATATATATGCATGTATGTATGTATGTATGTATGTATGTATATATGTATGTAGGTATGTATGTGTATATATATATATATATATGTATATATACATATATATAATATATACATATATATATATAATATATATATATATATATATATATATATATATATATATATATATATATATTTAAACAATTTAAAATGTATTCTACAAAAAGAATGCTCAATGTTCTTAAAAGAACAGAGCAATATATATATATATATATATATATATATATATATATATATATATATATATATATATATATATATATATATATATATATATATATATATATATATATACATACATATATATATATATATATATATATATATATATATATATATATATATATATATATATATATATATAGTATATATATATATATATATATATATATATATATATATATATATATATATATAGAGAGGAGAGAGAGAGAGAGAGATAGATAGATATATAGATATAGATATAAATATATATGCACTATTTATAATATACTATTTTAGGCTTGATGATAAGACTAAGTCTGTCTTTATCTGGCCCTAGTCATGTAAATATATGTTTTTACAAATTACAATTGTAAGTTATTTTCTTATTTGCAAATACAGTTAGTAAAAAGTAACTGGTAAAAAATCTCAATAAGATAATAATTTTTATCAAAAATCTGTGTGTAGTATTTTATCCTAATTTTCGCAAGGAAAATTCAAAGCAGCCTAATTGGTAAACAATGGTGAATAAAATATATCTTACAAGCAAATACAAGGTTATATTTGAAAAATTATTTAATGATGCAAAGAAAATTAATTATCCAAGCAGTAATTATTCTACAGATTTATTGTCGTAACTATTAATTAAAGCTAAAAAAAAAACTTTTTAGGTTATAAAACATTTGAGTTGAAAAGCTCAGACAATAAAGTCAAATTTTCAATCAAAACTTACAGAATAAATTAAAAAACAGTTAAAAAAAAACTAGGTTGTTTAAAGCTTTTTATTCATCCCAAACTATTTTATCTTTAGTTGCAACTGACTGTTGACATCAGGCCAACTACTGATCATAAAATGGAAAAAATTTATGAGTTAGGTAATTAAATTTTTAATTACATAACTCATAAGTAAAAAACCGAAGTATTAAACAATGTTAACTTTTATTTTACTATGAATTTTAATATGTTAACTTTTATTTTTCAACTAATTTTATTTTATTCAAACAAGAACTGCATACTTATAAAAGCATTGAAAAGTAGAATAAATAAAAACCTAAAGCACAATAATTATTTTTGAGTTAAAAAAACAACTTATTTTCACTTATAAATTAGGAAACCTTTGCATATTTTTAGAAACACTTTAACTTGCACACATAAAGTAGTGAAATAATTAACTACTAATCGTTATAATTTATGTTGTTATCATTTAATTTAACCATAGATAAAATTTCGCACTGAACTTTTTCATATAGCTAAAGTACATAATAAAGGTTTAATATTTACCTATCCATTTTTAAACTGATACTTATAAAGGCAGATATGCATTAATTTGCTTCACTAATGTTTATATCATTTTTGTTATATAATGTTTTTCTTATTTACCATCACGGAGAGAAAATTTAAACATACTTTCAGACCGATACGAAAACAATAACATAAATGGATTTGCTCTTTAATAACACTCATACAAGGATACTCATGTAGAGTTTCTTATCGCGTTTCAATTAAAATGTACAAAGAGTAAATATAAATATGGAGCGTCAAACAATGTACAATAAAATATTAGAGGCTTTTAAAGAGAAAAACTATACTATGCAAAATGCCTTTCATCGCAGCAATGGTAATAGAAACAAAAATATCCACATAATCTCCGGAGAAGAACGTTGATTAATCCGCTTTAAATAAAAAAAATAACGAATAATAGTTAGTTTTTTATTTATCTTGTCTTAGGTATTAATCGCAATCCAGGTTGAGGCTGTTGCTCCTCCCACGGTAAATTTTTATTCATGTCGTAAGTTGTTAAAATATCGCTACAGTTGGTAAAATTATATATATATATATATATATATATATATATATATATATATATATATATATATATATATATATATATATATATATATATATATATATATATTATATATATATATATATATATATATATATATATATATATATATATATATATATTTTTTCATAAATAAAAAAATGGTTTCTTTTTTTCGTGATTATAAATATTTTATTTAATAATTATTTATAGCAGTGCTGCCGAAAGGAGGGGGAACGCATAAGGACATTTTATCCCGGGTTGCAGATATTCAAGGGGAGCCAAATGAAAAGAAGGTACCTAAAATTAGAAGGTCCTTCGTCTATAATACAGGAAAATTTTGATAAATAAGGGCGCCAATCATGATTGCTAAGCCAGGCGGCGTGACGGCTCTCGGCGGCCCTATCAAATATATTTACATATAATCTATGCGTATACCCAGTTGCTGAAAATTGTACATATAATTTTGAGAATAATACATATAATTTACATAGTTTAATGATGTTTTGTATTACTTTTACAATAATTACTACGTTTTTATTTTGAGTTTTTTAACTTTATTTTTAAGTTTTTGAGTTACTTAGTTTAATCAATTTTACTTAATAATTGTAAAACTGATTAAACTTAGTTTAATCAATTTTACAATTATTGTAATACTTAATAATTGTAAAATTGATTAAACTTAGTTTAATCAATTTTACAATTATTAAGTCTACAATTATTTTCATTAAAATAAGAAACACTTAATACTAATAACACGAAACAAAACACTACTACAATGGTTTGGCTGTTTTAAAATAGAAATTACACAAGACATATTACTAAAAGTGTTGAGGAAGAAATTCCTAGTATTTTATACAAATTGTTTTCTGCAAGATTTCATTGAAAAAAAAAACAATTTATCAACAATTTAAAGTCAATCCTCTTAGCTAACCCACGCTTAATTAAAAGAAATGTTAATCCCGAAAGACGTTTGTTTATTATTGTTGATTGCAGATATTTTGTTTTGCAAACGAAATGCAACAAAAATCAGCAGATTGTTTTTCAAACTAAAATGTCTATATTTTCGTTGAAACTTGATTTGATAACATTGAAATATTATTCAACAGTTTTTGCAGAAATAAAATTTAAAAAAAGCATTTAAAATGAACATTTCTGTTCTGGCACTTCCTGTACAGTCTTTAAATTTTCCTAGATTTCTGTTCTGGCACTTCCTGTACAGTCTTTAAATTCTCCTAGATTTCTGTTCTGGCACTTCCTGTACAGTCTTTAAAATCTCCTAGATTTCTGTTCTGGCACTTCCTGTACAGTCTTTAAATTCTCCTAGATTTATATTCTCTCGAGTGACTTGAATCCGAAGATTTAATAACTGCAACAACTGCATATAATAACTTTCTGCTTGCCCGTCTTGCATATGAAATTGTTTCAAAATGTTTACTGCTGAGTCATAAAAACATTTCTGATACTCTAGGAGAATATAAAGTAGTAGTAAACTTTCCATGTAACATTTTTAAATCTACGGTATTGTTCCAACGCAAAATTTTCCTTAAAATAAGTATGAAATGCAGTCTGTGACATTCTTTGGATTTCTAAAATATTTGGCGCTAATCCGAATTCCCCTTCCCCTCACCCTATATCTTAATATGATAAATTATAATAATTTTATCCTGATTAAAAATAATAATTAAACATTGGTCTGAAAATTTAAAGAAAACACGCTAACTTGATTTTGCAAAATTTTTCAAACCCTAATATTTGTCATCTTTTAAAATTTACCTCAACATTGTAACACCGTAGGGTAAATGCACAGTGTACAGTGCTGAGTGTACGATGCTGAACTTTGAAACACCGTGGTAGGGATAGAAAAAGAATTTTTAAAATATTTTTTTTGAAAAAAAGTTGTTTAGCTTTAATTTACTGAACAATTTTTTCAAAAATTATAATCGTTATACGATTGGAAAAAAAAGACATTAGCAAAAAAATCAGCATATTATTCCAGATTCAAGTTGCGCAAGTTTAAAAGAAGCACAAATTTTCTTAAGTTCAACTAAAAATTATGATATAATTTATAATCTTTATTTTGGAAATGAAGATAAAAATAGATATAATCTTTTACAGAAGTAGTAAAATCTGAGCCGTTCAAAGGAATAACTTAAGAAAATTAGAATGTGTTTCACATGTACAAAAAAAGGGGGTTCGCAGGCTTTGTAGTTTAATTAAAAGTTAAAAAGGGTTTTAACTATATCGGGTAGAAAAATTTTTTGTTCGAGAATTTGATAAATAGTATGCAAATTTATTATGTTTTTTTATTAATTTTATCCATAAGAGGTAATATTCATAACATTTACGCCATAAAAAAAGGCAATATGACTATTTTGCTCCGCTGACTTGATATCCAAATCAAGAGTTTCGTTAATAATTTTGCCCGAGAACTGAAACTAGTTTTGGTTTTAGCATGATAAGTTACATAATACTTTAAAGTATAAAAAACAAATAAATGTGGCAACATGGATTAGTAACCTTTTAAAAATAGTATTTACTGACTTATCAAATTACGAATTATTGTTAGAATGTTTATATGAACTGACTCAAAAATACAATTTTAGACTCAATGCATTGTTTAAATCTTGCAACCCTAAAAAATATATTTGCTTGTAAACAAACTTTTGAAATATATATTAATTTATCACTTTTACACTATTTTTTTTTTGTATGTATTTAGGTGCTCCCAGAAGTCCTTACGGTCTTATCATAGAGCACCGCGGGAGAGCATTTAACAGGAAGTTCACGCCTCCTTCCGTACCAATATCGCTTGTTGGGCTAGAGCTGGCGTCGAACCTCGGACCTCTGGGTTTTGAGCCAGAACTCTAACCACAGCGCCACGGCTGCTCAAATGACTATAATGACGGTACATAGTGTAAAAAAGTACATAGTGTAAAAAAAGTTTTACTTTTAGAAAAAAAAGTTAAGCTTTTTTTAAAAAAATATTTTTTTAACTCTACCACCATTATCATTAAAAAAATCTCTTATTAGCTATGTAACCCGTTTGCATATATAGACACCCTATACAGGCTCAGAATAATCTAATACCTGCGCAATCTGATTGGCTGATTTTGAAATAGCACGTTAGTTGAAAATGGAATAAAAATCAAATCAAACAGCTTTTTGAAATAAACATTGAGGTAATAAAAAATTATAACGATACTGTGTACAGTCCCAATCAGAGATCTTATTTACAGTTGTTAACAATATGTATAAATGTTGAACATTCACTGGCCTAGCTATAATAATCAATGAGCAATATTTTCAAACTTCGAAATTTTTTCTTAAAGTTTAAATTTATACATTGTGTAATTAGAGTAAATTTCTTAAAAGCAATTAAGTATTGTTTTATTTTTTTTTTACGCCATCAACACAATAGCATTGATAGGAACTTAATGTGAAAAAAAGCCATATCAAGCTGTTTATATTTTATTGATATTATCAGTGAAAACACAAAACTGGATCGCAGGGGCGGATCCAGTATTTTTGATGTTGAGATACTAACTTTCAGACATGAAACAAGCTCCAAACATTTATATGTTTATGCGTATGTCAAATAAGGATGCTTTGCATAAAATTGTAGTGATTGGAATCTGGAAACAAAAAAATCCTAAAATTTTCCACAGCTGCCCAAAACATGAGATTAACAAGTTAATAAAATATTTTATGTACTATTCTTTAATAAATTTATATTCATTGATAAATTTTAAATTTTATACAATAATCTTTTAGCATTTAAAAGTTATGAACATATAAAGTTTGAAACCCTTTCAATTAGAGGGGGATACAAATTTAATGAAGTCATAACTTTTGAACGTTAAGAGATTATTGCATGAAATTTAAAACTTATCTATGAATATAAATTTGTTAAAGAATAGTAAATAAAATAGTATATCAACTTGATGCTCTCACGATTGGGGCAGTTGTGGCAATAATTTTAGGGCTTTTTTGTTCCCAGGTTCCAATCATTACAATTTTATGCAAATCATCTTTATTTGACATAAGGATAAACATACTAATATTTGGAGCTTGTTCCAAACATTTCAAACATCAAAAAAGCTTGATCCGCGTATTCGAAAATCTATTGTAGGACATTCATAGCATAGTCAAGTTTTACCATCGGTTTGATAGCTTGTTACAATTGTTGTCTTTTTTTATACCTTAGAGTTATAAAAACCGGTAGAAAGTCAAACTACTCTTTTTAAATCTTAAATTTTAAGATTAATTTTAATTTCAAGATTATATTATTTTAAGATTTTAATTTTAAGATTAAATTATGTACTCTAAAAGTCACGGTTGTTTTGAGTTGTAACGTTTTGTAAAAATAAGTACTTTAATGTGGAAAAGTCAGTAGAAAAATGGTAATTAATTTGTTATTATTAAAATTTTGTTTTTATTACTTATTATTACTTATTTTTTTACTTAATCATTCAATTTCAATTTTATCATTTAATAATCGGGAGTCTTTAATTTTAATTTTTATATTTCGATATCTGGAGTCTTTTTTTTAACCTTTTGGAGTCTGATTTCCCTTAGTCCCTTTGGTCTACAATAAAAAATAGTTTAAAATTA